GCTCGGGGGTCTTGAGGTGGTGGTTGAAACCAACCAAGCGTCAAATAGTTTTGCTGGTCCTACAGCGGAAACCGAGGTTTACCTGCATATCGACAGCTCATTCGAACATTTTTTGTCACCAAGTGTTCTCAAGCTACGCATTTTTTTCTCGATCGAACTTTCACTCAACTGCAAGAGAGGACGTTTCAAATAAAAAATGACTTAAATTAAAGCGATTCTTGTTTAGAGTTACAATTATGTTTGTGTTTTTAAAATAAATATATACCGGTAAATATAAATGTTTCGCCTGACTTGAGAAGTCCACTTACAGATTTGGAAGCTGTGGGTTAAGTAATTATCCGTAATAGATTTATCATTTATGTCTCGTCACAGATATGGAATGTGTGGTTAAGATAGTCTTTTCATTCACTAGAAAAATGTCTGCTAAGAAGGAAAGTGTTTCATCGAGTCATTTCCCCGTCGCCCGCCGCTTTGATACAAGTGTTAATGTCAATATTTGACTACTAGAGACTGTGGTGAGCTTAGCGGTGTATACAGTGGCGTACCTAGGGTAGGTGCAACCCCGGCCGGTTCAAATGTCACATATCATTTTCCTGTAGAGTCACAGTTCCATTCTCGGCAGAGAATCACAGGTCATTTCCCTGCAGAGAATCACAGATCATTTCCCTGCAGAGAATCACAGATCATTTCCCTGCAGGGAATCACAGATCATTTCCCTGCAGAGAATCACAGATCATTTCCCTGCAGAGAATCACAGATCATTTCCCTGCAGAGAATCACAGATCATTTCCATGTGATTTTAACTTTGTTACGTCTTGATGTGATCAAAAATTACTACACTAAAATGGAGTCCAGATGACATTCTACAATTTTCAAATTACCGATAGTGAGTCCATAGCGATGGGTTTGAGAACTTCGAATTTTTTAAACAAATTTGAAACAGTTTTTTTATCTGAAATTCTGTTTCTGAAATGTGTTGGCCTACGTTAGACTTGTAAACTGATTGACCTGCGACAGGCCATGACAATGTGTGGGAAATAAAATAATAAATTTATTTTGCTATTAATAAAGTCGTGGCGGGGGTGTCATGCTCTCCCACACCTGTATACCTGCCCTCTCCCACACCTGTATATCTGCCCTCTCCCACACCTGTATATCTGCCCTCTCCCACATCTGTATATCTGCCCTCTCCCACATCTGTATATCAGCCCTCTCCCACATCTGTATATCTGCCCTCTCCCACATCTGTATATCTGCCCTCTCCAACAAACTCGTTGAAACCCCGCCCCTGATAGAACCACGGAAGCACTCAGGACGGTGTGTTTAATCATGCGGCTCGCAGCCATTCATTATCAATGAAATTCCCCGACACACAAATCATGGCACCCGATTGGCGACATGTCTGCACCGCAGACATGTCCTGGCCTTGGAACAGGTGCGATAGTTAACATGACAAATAGAGATAACATTTAGTTTATAGCCTTCAAAATTTACTTAGCATTTTTGCACTACTGAGTGTTGAAGAGTTGTGTGTGTGTGTATGATAATATAAAATATAGAGTGTAGCGCTGGTACCATGTCTGAATAATTTCTTATCTTCCACTTACTAGGCTTGTGTATGAAGGGACAATTAAAATGGGAACATATTTTACATTCTGTCAGAAGAGACATTTCGACAGTTTGATTAAAAGCCCTAACATTTTTTTAATATTTTTTTTTTTTGTAAAATGATTTTAAAATTAAAAAGATGTTATTGACCCCACACTTAATGCGCCTGGCGATTTAATGTGTAGGCTTCAACTTTAAGCAGTGGGGAGATACATCAGTTCAAAATTTCTTTTAAGTATTTCGTACGGTATTGAAAGTCTTAACTTATGATATCTATTTGTTTAGATCATCCAGAAGGGGAAATCATCAGCGACGAGAAGGGACACTGGCTATAAATATTTGAGATCCACCAATAGATTCCGGGGGATTTAATGTTGAGGAAGAGTTCAGACCAACGTGCGGTTTAATGAGTTTCTTACCTAAACCAACAAAAACTGTGCCATTGTGTAACATTTTGACTGTACTAGATGGATATCATCAAGTACTCGATGGATATCATGTACTCGATGGATATCAAGTACTAGATCAATGTCATCAAGTACTAGATGGATATCAAGTACTAGATGTGTACCAAGTACAAGATGTGTACCGGTATCAAATACTAGATGGGTATCAAGTACTAGTACGAGATGGGTTGAAGTACTTGATGGATATCAAGTACTAGATGGATGTCCATTTGTGTCGTAGTTGTAGCAGAGGTCACCAACGAGATGGAAATAAATTGTTCATTGGACTGAAAACAAAACCAATTGACTAAAACTAAAAATATGTTTAAGAGTAGATTAAGACTGATGCAACGTGTTCATTAGCACTGACTGATGCAACGTGTTCATTAGCACTGACTGATGCAACGTGTTCATTAGCACTGACTGATGCAACGTGTTCATTAGCACTGGCTGATGCAACGTGTTCATTAGCACTGGCTGATGCAACGTGTTCATTAACACTGGCTGATGCAACGTGTTCATTAGCACCGGCGTAGACTTTGCTAAAAATTCAACTTCATATTTTCCATCATTAGACGAGTTTGCTCCTCCCAACTGTTCAAATCACACAATGTCAATGATATGACTATCTGCTTACATTAAATGAGTTGAAAGCTGAGTCATTCATCATTCAGCCTTTATTTAAATATAGAGAAAGAGAGCGAGAGAAATACAAAATTATTTTTTTCTTTTTAGGACATAATTTCTCCCGGTAAAGCAATCTGCCTGAAGGCTAACACATCTCAATCTAATGTTATGAAAATCATTTTTAATGCACTTAACTAAACATTTTTTAATTTATAAATATGGTAGTTTGATGGCCTATCTGTACACAAATTAGTTCATTGGATTTCATTTTAGCTAGATAAGATATTTTTAAAATTAAGGGACATAATTTATTTTTTTTAAAAACGCTTCTTCATATTTACGTTTTTAGTTCCCTTGAATTCTTTTCATTATTTTGTTCCCACTGGACATCTACTACTACTATTCCTACTCCTACTTATAGTAATACTAGTACTAGTGTTACTCTTGCATTTGACACTTTTCAGCTACGAAAAATAATTTTTATATTTGCCTATTTCATTACATATTCCAAGCATAAAATGTTTTTCTAAAATCCGATCCCTGCTTGAAAATGTTGGATACAGTAAACAAATTCAACTTTTAAAATAGGAAATTATTTTATTCACGTCCCCTTGTCTCCCGAGGTACGTGATTTAAAGACATACCGGTACAATAATGTAACGTACATGTTTAAGCTTCCCTCCAATCATGTCCCCTCTAGCCCCTCGGATATCCACCGGCATGATCTTGAATTACTTAAATAAGTAAAATCTTAGTTTATCAATTAATTAATCCATGACTCAAATTTTATTATGTGATTCAGGAGCAAATCTCTAAAGCAGTTTTAATTTGGAAAACTTTCAACTTTCAATTAACTTTTTTACAAATTTTGTCCATGTTTTAATTCTTTATTTGCACTTGTACAGCTTTGTTTGCTGTACCGGTATAAGAATGTTTCCAGACACCTCTTTCAAGAGTACCCCCACGTTATGTTTGAAACTTATTGTTAAAGATTTCAGTGAATTTTAAACAAGAAATTAAATTCAAAGTCCTTGGCTGCAACAACCGTACTAGATATTCCTTGTAATGGTAGAAAAATAACAAAACTACTACTGGGTATTAGAATATGCATCAGATTCCATTGAAATCCAAAATATTTCTCAAGCATAATTTCTTAAGTGTAGGCACAAAAATTTATTGACAATTTTATCTTCAGTTTAAAAGAATTACTTATTGCCTATTGAGCCAATAATTATGGAAGTTGAATTAACATCTCTAGAATATGGTTCATGACATTTTTGAAGTGACAGAATCTATTTTTTATCCTTAAAATATTCAGTAGTAACAAGAAATTAGAGCAGGTAAATACTTCTGGGGCGCTGCTCTGCAGGCGACTCGATTGCATTAGGGCATCTTTTTCAGTTTAACATGTTTTATTTCATTGTGTTTCACTCAAGTAAAATGGAGGTGCTAAGGTCGATTTTCTTGTGAGTTTCTCTTCGTGGGAAACAGCTTTAATATGAACTTTGATATAATATTACTCAGACTAGCATAAAAATGTCACTTCCGCCATTTTTGTAAACTTCCGCCATGCCAACAACAAATGGTGACCGATTCGAGACTGAGATGAAGAAAGCGGGGCAGAAGGTGAGGCATTCATGTGAAATGCAGAAACAGAGGCTTTCTTCCACCTGTTGTTTTGGGAAATGTTAGATCACTATGTAATAAGATGGATGAACTGGATTGTTGTTGTAAGCATTTCTATCAATCTCTATTAATATGCCACACAGAAACATGGCTTAACGAAACGGTACCAGATTCAGCAGTGGCACTGGACAAATTTAACATTTTCCGTGCCGATAGAACAACCGACAGCGACAAATCCAAGGGAGGGGGATTGGCAACATATAATAACAAAAACTACTGTAGCATAAACAACAGTGCAGTGAAGCATGTCGCTTGCACACCCGCCATAGAACTACTCTGCATCACTTCAAAGCCATTTTACCTATCTAGGGAGTTCACCCCCATGTGCAGCGTCCTTACTTACATTCCACCTAATGCTAACAGGCTGCAGGCTATTGAGAGATTTATGGATGTAATCCATGAAAACTAAGACTCTGAAAGTCTGGCATTTAGCGTACTCACCTGAAGTCACAAGTCTTAATGAGAACTAATAAGACCCTGATATGGCTAAGACAATTCACTGAATGGCTGTTGGTTTTTTTTTCCACTAGTGAAATAATTTAATGTGGATGTCTCGTGTTCAAATTGTTTTATTTATGTGCTGAAAATGTACAATGCAATCAAAAAGCATTTCCCTTTCTTTGGATCATTAAAAGAAAACCTACTTTGAATTCAGGATGGAAATAATAAAAAATTAGATTTAACATTATATACAAACAAAGAAATAATGTATATTTTTTTAATTGCTTTTAGTTTTAGATCCTAGTTAAAAATAAAAAATAATTATATCAAACATTTTTCTTCTTTTTTTTCTTTGATGTCCCATTTTTTTCAACACTCACTACCTCATCAACAGTGGCGGTATCAGCAAGGTCTGCTTCGTTATCGTTTAGCTTTTCTGACTTTGGTCGTTTCTTTTTTTTCTTTTGTGTAATAATTTCATGACCAGTGATGTCCACAGTAGCACTAGGTATATGAAAATTGTCTGTTTCTTTGTCATCATGTTTTTCAGCTTTTGATCTTTTCCTTTTCTTCTTCAAAAGTTTAGTATTCTCTTGAGCCCCGTCCTCAACATCAGCTTCAACCACTTTTCTTTTTTTACTTTTTGATTCAGGTTGAGCTGCCAAATCATTTGCTTCAACAATTTCTTCCTCCCTTTCATCAACACCAATACTTTTAGAATCATGTTTGTCTTTCTTTCTTTTCTTCTTTTTGTGCTTTTTCTCACTTCTTCCCTGAGTTGTTTCCATCTCTCTATTATCAATCATTTCATTCTGACTCTCAGTAATGTCTGCATGATCAACCCTCTTCTTTTTCTTCATTTTTTTATCTGTATCATTGTTTGGTCTGTTCTGAACCTCATCTGAAGTTCTCTTTTCTTGGGTACAATCACCAACTCTGTTTTCTTTCTTCTTCAATTGTTCCTCAAACTGCTGGTCCTGCTCAGCTACACGTGACAATTTTCCTTTCATTTTGATGCCAAACATGGCTGCCCTGTAAAGTAAAAGCTGTTTATGAAATTGATAATATGACCTGAAGGTGAAGGCTACACTATCATTAATTGAAACATTAATTTTAAGTATACGTCATGATGATATTATCTTAAACTGGTATTCATGGACATCTACACAGGGATGGAAAAGATGCAGTTTTTTTTAATCTGAGTTGGGGGTGATAGGCCTACAAAATTCATTTTTTTAATACCTGGTAACCACGGGATTTGATAATTTGATTTGCTTAAAAATTTCAAGACTTATTGAGCTATTATTGAAACTGTAATAGTTTGTTATCTATTTCGTTATTGAATAGTCAAAAGTGTTTTTACAATGCTTATCTGTAAATTTTTCTTTTGCTATTACTAGTACTCATGGTGAACTCTGAATCTAACACCAATACCATGACTGAAACGACCCAGACACAGAGTGTACCAAGTTCAAGGTCTAGGGGCCAAATGGGGCATAGACACCCATACTGGTATTTAGATACAGATATTAAGTTTGTTGATATTATTCAGCTGGGACACATTATTAAACTACTGGCCCATTTGCGACAATTCTTTATGATAATTCCCGTTTAGCACCTTTTATTCAAATAGCACAACCAGTAACGTAAATAACTGCTTTTTCCACATGATGCTTTAACTCAGCAGAGGGAAAAAAAAAATATATATATAAAGAAATTTTGTAATAAAAAAAGTTTTACCTTTATTTTGTCAATTAATCAAGAAAATGTAACTTTCATTGGGAGATAATGCCATAATTGGATATCTTAAATCTGTTTTCTTGGTTTCATTGTAAAGAACATTTTAATTCAGTGGAAAAGTTCCAGTGATCAACATGCATGGCAGAATTACCATTACCATTAACTTGTATAAAAATTTCATTCGAAGGTGTGCCCAGCAAAAGGGAGAATATCACCATGTTTTATGTTTGATATTATGTGGATATAATGGAATGGTGCCTACGATTAAAATAGTTATTTAATTATGACTGAAACTAGTATGTTTTTGTAAGTTATACAACCCTAACAATGACTAACAACTTACCTGTGTCCAGTAGCACCACCACAAAACTTGTGTATGTCATCCAATGTGGGCAAACTGAAAGTTAGGTCAGAATATTAGGGGTAGGATGGGGGTTTTTTTGGTTTCAGAAATATTAAAAGAAAAATTATGTTTTAAGATTTAGCTCAAGTAGTTAAATAAGTAACTATACATATAACGGCATGGGCACAGACAAAACAATCTGACTTTAGGAAAAAGATTTTGAGGATAACCCTTGTTTGTGGACATACCTTACTTTTGGCCCATCATTGGATTCCTCATCACTAGAATCAGAATCTTTATTAGCCTTTTCAATTCCATTACTAAGTGTAGAGCTCTTCAAAAGAAACAATGTATTTTACAAAGCGTAACAGCAATTTATTAAAAATAAACAAGCCTTTAAAACATTTTTTAATCAAATTCTAAATTACAACATTAAAAAAACAGCCTTCCATTGTTATGTAAGCTACCTGTAACCAAACAAAATAAATAACCACCAATTACTTTTTCCAAATAAAATTTGTAATCACTGGGTTATATCCCCTTGGTTGCAAATTCTTGGTACCCCCCCCCCATCCCCCAAAAAAAACAAACAAAATAATTACACTGAGAGGGCCTATGGTATGCTAAATGGACCATGATGAAGTTGTCTTCTATTGTGTTCAAAACTGCTATAGTATCAAAAGAGCACAATTCACTAAGTCATACATTTCACAACACTTATTGCTTGTTAACAATTGTATATCAAGAAATTGAATTTAAATATAATATTACACTTAAAGGAATATCAGTTTTATATCACTTTACATCTAAACAAAATTTTATTTGAAAGCGAATTGAAATATCATAGGACTAAAAGATGTTGCCAGTGCTTGGCCTCGTGCATTCTGCATACAAGCGTATGATCTTGGCTGTTCCAGTTAATAAAAATCATTAAAAAACAGAATCTTGCCTTAAATTTTGTATTTATATTCAATAAAAAGTTTCAGAATTTTTTCAACGCTTAATTTATTTAAACATCAACATTAATAAGCTCATAGCAAACTGCCCAAAATAGTACAGTATAGTTTCAGAATATTACTATCACATGGTTGTACCATATTGAAATTTTTTTTTACATAAATGTTAGTTATCTACTTTGACCCGTTTGTATTCTTATAGCAAATAAATAAGCATACAGTATAGTATACTAAATCTATTTGCATTGCATGTCTAAAAACCGGTCAAAGTAGATAACCAATGTTTATATAAAAAAAATTTTTATAAATTCAAAATGTAGAAATGTGGATACCTGAATATAGTTCTGCATCATTCTTCACTTAATCGGAAAATTAGGTTCCCTTTACCTAGCTGTTTTTATATAAATCCTTTAATTTTAGTAGTTACTAAATAGTAAAATTGTTTTATAATTTTTTTTTAAAGGGATGAGCAAACAAACTGGCACATACCATCACAAAAAAAAATGATTTATATATATTTCAACTGTGTTTCTTGCTAAGAATGAAAATAAGCATTAATTTAATAAAGAAATATGTTCATTTGATACATCCTGCAGGCCACAATATGTGGTGGGGCTGCGGGATGCTCACCCCTACATCAAGCCTAGGAGTCTGATTTTATTTTCTGTTAACATATTATAGCCTAATAACTACAGCAAGCTGTATTGGGAGATGGGAAGAGGAGTGTTGGAACAAAACTGGGGCATTGTATAGCTGTTTAGTGACTTCTAAACATATTTTTCAAGCCACTATCTAGGTCTAATGAAATATATCAAAATCTTATGACAATGTATTTTTAATAAAAATTAATCAGAACTTTTCTCCATTTTCACTATTGTTGCGGTTCAGTCTTTGAACGAAATTACGTCATACAACACCAAAGCAAACAAAAGTGAACGCTAATATTACCATTGCCGAATGGGAGTATTCATTGTAAAAATAAAAGGCAACAATATGACAACAATCACCCTCTTTATAAAACAAGGCACTGCTATTATACAACCATTAAAAATATTTAAACATTGCTCTCCCCCACCCGGCGACTAAGCCCTCCCATGTACACACTGTACACTCTTAAGTGTACATAATATAATTATTGATGGTCGCCAACGAAATTTATCGGGCCATTCACCACTAGCTGTAGGAGGGAAATAGAACTAACAACTATAATATTTAATAATTGTTTTTATCATAGAAAGTACCAAAAAATATTTTTCAAACTAATCTCATAAAATCGTAGTTCTAACAGCTCTCTGTGCACTATCATAAAATCGTACATTGTATACCAAAATCATAAGCATACCAGGTCTGAATATTTGCAATTCAAAACTTAAACCAGGTGAAAAATATACATGATACTCAGAGTCTTATAGTATTTGGCAACAATCAATATCAGAACTGTTACTGTTACCCTAATGAAAATGTCAACCCAAAAGTGATATTTTTTAACAGATAAATACAGAACTTTATTAATTAAATACCTTAACAAAACCTTTGTAGAAGTTCTTTTTATCCTCAGACTTTTTGGTACTTTCACTGGAAATATTCTTTTGAAAAAGGGAAGGCAAAAAATATTACTGGAAATTTGAAATGCTACAATCATTAAGATTAAATATGTTCTATCTGATGGTCCATCTAATTGTTTAAGTTTAAGAGTAAAGAATTTTAAAACTTAAATATATGCTCATTTATATTTCATTCTCAAAAATAAAAAAATATATTATTTTACCGTCTTGTTTTGACCTATCTTTTGTGCAGCTTCATTGAAAACCCTTAGCCACCAGTGATCTGTAAATTCTTTTCCTGGGTCATGACCAACCTAGAGGTATAGGATATTGATAATGTCAAAGTTATTTGGTACTAATCTTTACATACAACAGACACCACCATAAAGCCTGATTTATTTACTTACACCAGTTTTGTCCATTTTTAGGGATACTTTGATAGGGTCACTCCTCCCATTCTCTTGCTTGCCAAGTCCAGCACCTTATAATAAAAAAAAAAACATATTATCATTAAGTATAATTAATATGTTCAAGTGAAATTGCAAAACATTTGATTATTATTTGACTTTGAAAATTATCAGTGGTACCAAATAACAAAAAGCCATAGTTTAAGAAAACATTACAATCAATTTTCAAGCCTTGGGCTTGGAGGTTAATGACTAAAAATAATTGCATACTTTTTACTATGGGCATTTGCATTTTTCGGACACTTTTTATGGCTATATCCAAGTACTTGTATAAAAAAATATTAATTTACAAGAACAATTGTGAATTTTTATATTAATAAAGAGGTAATATTATTTTTTAACAGAAAAATTAATTAAATGAAATAAATAAAAATTAAATATTTGTAACTAAATCCATTCCTGAGTGCCTGAAAAAGACTAAACATAAAAAATTTTTACCAATAAATGAAATTCAGTTAATCTATTCCCCAAATGTTATTAGTATTAGTATTATGCTACATATGAACCCTATGAATCATAATATGATAGTGGTTCTCTGAATATTAAGCAAAGTTAGAAACATTTTGTCCACTTTCAAACTTACTAATAGTGGTTCTCTGAATATTAAGCAAAGTTGGAAACAGTTTGTTCACTTTCAAACTTACTAATAATTTATTTTTTAAACTCATTTTTGGGGTTTTCATTGTGATTCATACATTTATTTATTTATTTATTTATTTAGGCATTTTTATATAGCGCTTATCATAAAGCTCTAAGCGATTTACAATTATTAAAACATGTAAACTAAGTAAATACAAATGAGACACTAGGATAGTAACTACTATTCTATAGAAACAATGAAAATGGCTATAAAACGAGGACACTTTGACACTTCAGGATCAACCCGAGGGCATCCATGCCTTAAGACGGCACTGCTTTGCGCACTGGCCAAAGTATGGCAACCTATTAAAGAATACGGTTATACGACCAGAAATATCAATAAATGTGTTTTGTTATAGTCTCATTTGCCAACATTTATTTATTTATTTATTTATTTAGGCATTTTTATATAGCGCTTATCATAAAGCTCTAAGCGCTTTACAATTATTAAAACATGTAAACTAAGTAAATACAAATGAGACACTAGGATAGTAACTACTATTCTATAGAAACAATGAACATGGCTATGAAAAGAGGACACTTTGACACTTCAGGATTAAACCGAAACAGAAAATTTCCCTTTTGGTCGTTAAATTCAGTACCAATTCACTTTGTTGGGGCCATTGTCGTGGTCCTTTTTAATTGCAAAAAATAATCAAAAGTTCCAAGAGAAATTTGCGGAAACTGCCGAACTCAACAACTGTACAAAGGCTGATTAAATTAGCTAGCTGCCATCCAACCAAAGCTAAAGGGTATCAGTTATAAGTATCATTTATATTAATTGATAATTTGAAACATCCTACTACTAGCACTAAAATAAAGAATAAAACTTCATATTTCTCTCGATGAAATTGAAATTCAAGGATGAGAGGTGACATTTTATGGAAATGCTTAAGCCTAAATTATGCTAAATAAAACATTAGACATAAATGAATGTTTATTTTTAAAAAGGCCAATAGTCTGACATAGAATAAATTCTGTGAGTATGACTAGTGTGAGCAGTAACTTATTTAAACTTATTAATATTAAGATTTATTTAAGTTAAGTCCCGTTAAGTCTCCAAGAAGCATTAGGATTGACCGGATTGCTTACTAATAATGAATACAAATGATAAGAATTAGAACTATAGTTATAGTATAGCATGCATCAAATTTAGAGTAGACGTTGAGGCTGAGCATACGTAATAATAGTAATTAAAGTAATTTGTAATAGTAATGGAGTAATAAAATAATGGTTAATGATAATGGTGGAAGTAGTGGTGTGTCATCACCAAACATTTTTTTTTACTAAGGCAGCACCTACTAAAAATGCTTTGTACCTTCAGTCCATCCATATTTCCTAAGCTGGCGTTTAGCGAAATCTGAATCTGCCATTATGAATGGAGCACTTATTTTACATAAATATTTATTTTGTGCACGTGCTATTCCGAATGACAATAAAATGTATTCAACATACAATGTTTACAAATTGAAAGGGAAATCACTCTAACTAATCTTATGGGTCGGGGACGCCAGGTTTTAATAATAAATGTGTTCAAAATTAAAAAACTTATTGACGTTTTTTTTTCTTTAAACGATAAAATTATTATAATTTTAGTTTCAGAAATTAAGGGCAGGCAATAAATATTTGCTATTATCCATTATTTGGCTCAATGTTGACTTAATTAAACTTTGTGGTAAGCAGGGATCTGTAGTGGAGCTTAAAGCTCTCGAACATTTCCAACTCGGAAAGTAATTTTCAAATACAAAAAGATATAATTATTGTTATTATTAATGATAATTTATGAAAATTGATGCCCCACAGTACTCCCGGCTACGTTGCCCAAATCTTATACCAGTTATTTAGCCCCATGTTTATCCAGCTCCCTCGATCCACTCTTTTACAGCTATGTTGCCCCACTCTTATGCCAAGTGCGTAATATTTTCTTTTGTTTTACGGAAATATATGGTGTTATAAATCTGCCGTGTAAAAAAAGCTTGAGTCATTAGCATATTAATATAGATCAGGAACGGTGGCGCGCCGTGGGGTGGGGGGGGGAGTGGCGTTGCACTACTTGGGAATCTTATAAAGTGCATTACTTGAATGCATGTCTTGTCATGTAACTTTATTAGGTGGGCATTGCGTAAATTTACGTAGTCATTGTTTGGCGGGCTATAGCTGGGGTCGGCTTTTAAGGTACCGGCAACTCGGGCAGTTCCCCAGGCCGCCCCATGCCCATGTGCTTAGCATGCCATCAAAGGTCTTCCAAAATAGTAAAAAAGCATTGGATGCCATAGAAGAAAAATAGAAAGTCATAAAGTTCAATAAAAAGATTTCCTGATCTAAAGGCTAGAAAAAATAGATCATCGGTTGGCTACGGTCGGATAATTGTTCATAGTACCCACGGTAGGCTAATTGTTCATATTGCCCACGGTGGGCTACTTGTTCATACTGTCCAAATACAAGTTAAGGAAAAAATATTGTTCATTCTTTGTTTTAAAAAAACAACACCTAGGCAATAAGCTCATTACCTATTCCTCAGTTTTTTCCATACACAAATTTTTATGATTATACTTCAAAGGGGCGCCAAAGTTAAGATTGCCCCTCCCTAATTATCCAAAGTAAAAATAATAATCTTGATCTTTTGAATGCATTAGGCCTAGGCCATATTTTGAGTTATTAGGACTAGGTTATATTTTGAGTTAATAGGCCTAGACTATATTTTGAGTTATTAGGCCTAGACTATATTTTGAGTTATTAGGCCTAGACTATATTTTGAGTTATTAGGCCTAGACTATATTTTGAGTTATTAGGCTTAGGTTATATTTTGAGTTATTAAGCCTAGGTTATGTTTTGAGTTATTAGGCCTAGATTATATTTTGAGTTATTAGGCCTAGGTTATGTTTTGAGTTATTAGGCCTAGGTTATGTTTTGAGTTACTAAGCCTAGATTATATTTTGAGTTATTAGGCCTAGGTTATGTTTTGAGTTATTAAGCCTAGGTTATGTTTTGAGTTACTAAGCCTAGATTATATTTTGATTTATTAGGCCTAGGTTATGTTTTGAGTTATTAAGCCTAGCTTATATTTTGAGTTATTAGGCCTAGACAATATTTGGAGTGGTTGCAGCGGCATTATTACACATTACTGTTGTTAATGATTTAAGCACGTAGTTAAAAATAAATCCACGTGGCAATGTGGTCATTAATGGGGGATTGCAATCAATCGGTCAAGGGACTAAGTAGACTGAATACTGATTATCTTCGTGTTGCTAACCCCGCTTTTGAAGTGCAATTTATTTATATTTTAATAACTTTTTTTCTTGTTGCAGCAGACAAAATATGTCCGGAGCTGAGCTGGAGCCAAGCTCGGCCATAACATCCTTCACCAAATTACTGATCTAAACTGTTTCGAATATTATACCATCAGGCAGGGGAGGTCAACGGAACTTATCTGGGATTCTGTTATAACCTGTGTGTTGACCTAGTTCGTGCCGTGGCAAGCAACCCTTACCCCCCCCCCACCCACACTTTTTTTTGTAACGACGTCACCAAAAATACTTGGTGACACGTGCTGACATTCCTTTCCCCCCACCGCGCTTGATTGACAAAGTTTGTTTACGTCTCCAGAAGAGTCGACATGACGGAAGAAATACTCTCGATACCATAATACGATTGAATTTCTAGACTTTGTGGTTTGGTGGGTTTTGACTCATTCACTATACATAAAACCGTCGACTTTGACAGACTAGATTTTATTAGGCTTAACAGACATACAAGACAAGAGATCTTACTACTTTATTTTCCTGTGTGAGGATGGATTAATATACCTTTCTATTGTTACACTTGTTCACTTGCTCAGCTGTAAGTTTAATATAATTCGAGTAGTTGCAGGGCCTATGCGAACATGATTAGCCTATGAATTTGAAGCATCTAGACCTACTTTGTTTTTGTAAGCCTGAAGTTAAATGAAATAATGTAAATTAAAAACAAAACCAAGATTAACTCTGTGCAATGAACTTAACGCACGTAACAGTACTATTTTTCAAGGTCTAGAAGTAAAGACTAATATTTAATTTTTCAATACCGATAACTGGTTATACAACTATCGTTTAAAGTTTTTCATGGGGTGGGGGCGTATTTAGATTATTATGGTATTTCACAAGTGGAGCAGGGATTCCCCTATATTCATATTATTATGTCGTTTGTTTTTTTTTGTTCAGTTCAAACATCTGCAGAGACAATATTTTTAACATGTTTGGAGCCGGTGTTCTCAGGCACATTTAGTATCAAGATCCACCTGGGCAACTAAAGATAAAATGTTTTCCATCCCCAACCCCCAAAAATAATCTTTTCTTTAAGGGGGGAAATCTTTCTTTTTTAAATGATGTTAAGCGAATTGAATTTTGATGCCATTTTAAGCCTTACTTAATGATGATCTAACATTGTAGGATTAAACGCACAATGAAGTTGTTGATTTTTAAAACTTGTATTTCAATATAACAACAGTTGGCCGTCAATATAATGTAGGCTTATAACACTGGACAGCAACAACAAAAATTGTATGCTATTAGACGTCTAGATAGTGGGGTTTACACTAAATCGATTTGACTGATTCCAAATTTGGGTTTGTGTAGCAAGTCGGGATTTTTTTAATCATTCAAACAAATTACAGAGCTAGTTTTTTTTTTAAAATTATTATTATTATTATTATATAGCTCTGTAACTATAGGCTACGTTCACATGTTTGTAAAACAGGGTAGCTTGCCCGTGGTTGTCGCCTAATTTTACCACTTTGGGTTCGTTCCAAAATTATGTTTGATGTTTCTAATCTTGATTCCAATAAGTTAAGTAGGGTTAATTATAACATACCAAACAATAGAGTTTTTAAAATAAAGTGTATACTTTTACTCTGAACAAATGCATTCCTTTCCTGTCGATTCACGGTGACGTCATCCGATCCATGTTTACTCAGCCAAACCATGACAACCACAAAGGATATGAAAGCGGAGAAGATATTCACCAAGCCATTATGCTCTTTTCTCTCCGAAAATAAATATATTTATTCTTTCGTGAGCGTATCCCATGAGAAATGCATTTTGGGAACACCAGGGACCCAGCTGCTTGTAGGCTGTTACAGTTCTCTGCGAGCTCGGGGATTCACAAGCACGCATAGCATCACCAACAAACATACATACCAAGCGGCAAGTTTAAGTGTGGGGGGGGGGGGTTCAGCTTAGTTCTAAATAAAATACCACCAGGGGGGTCATTTCAGGTGGGTTTTTGGGGGGGGGGGGTAGGGGGGACCAAAACTTGGTCGTCTTGTTAAATTGTTTATCACTGGAGGCGCCACAGTGCATAGCAATTTAAATAAAACCTGAAAATTCAAAGGGGGAGGGCAAACGCCCCACCATTCCCGACCCAAATGACGCCACTGAATACCACGCATCAGTTCGCAGACTTCTGGCCCAATAACGCTTTCAGATTTCAGTTTGATTGCTCAAAGTTTCTCTTTCAGATTCCGGAAACCGTGTTCTTCACGATCCATTGCTGCTAAACCATTTTTCACGAGGCCCAGTTTAAAGTTAAGCGGCGATAACTGCATTGTCTTCTTCTTCTTCTTCTAAATTTTTATCACGATCAATGCATTGATCATTCTGGCAAAAAAGGCACAGATGTTTGGTGCACCCCCTTGTGAAAGCCTAGATCAAGTTTCTATCACTTTCAGGTCAGCACAAGTTGTGTTCCTAGAAATCGATCACTTGTTCCAGTTGTGTTCTGTGATATTGCTCACTTGTTCAAATTTTTTTTCTGAGCGGTTGATCACTTTCAAAATGATTTTCCTAAAGTCGTATGTCTCTTCGTGGCCTGCAGAGTGAGTAATAGGAACGTAGCGTTTTTCGATAACTATTGTGCAACAACACAACCTTCGGGCTCACTTTGCTGGAGTCTATGACCAGTCTCTACTGACCAGGGACGTAATCGCAACCTACAACTTCATTATGAGATTGTTCACATCAGTACAGAAATAGTTTAACATCTGCTTATACATTAGGAAGTGAATGGGCGGACTGTGTTGAGCTCTAGCACTAACTTTGGCTTCAATTTGTTGTTAAATCCATAGTATTAACACTCCTTTAAATTCATATAATCAACACTTCCTTTAAATCCATATAATCAACACTTCCTTTAAATCCATATTATCAACACTTCCTTTAAATCCATATTATCAACACTTCCTTTAAATCCATAGTATTAACACTCCTTTAAATTCATATAATCAACACTTCCTTTAAATCCATATAATCAACACTTCCTTTAAATCCATATTATCAACACTTCCTTTAAATCCATATTATCAACACTTCCTTTAAATCCATAGTATTAACACTCCTTTAAATTCATATAATCAACACTTCCTTTAAATCCATAGTATCAACACTTCCTTTAAATCCATATTATCAACACTTCCTTTAAATCCATGTTATCAACACTTCCTTTAAATCCATATAATCAACACTTCCTTTAAATCC